CTAAAGAAAGTGAGGGATTGCATTAGGAAGTTATGCTTTGTTGTACGACACTTCTCCATCCTGTGTGTTGGAACTGTCTGATTTCCATCATTTGAATGTTGGCTAATCAATGTATATATGTATAAGTACAAGTGGTTAAGAAAGATTTCACACATAGGTTTGAAGGTTGGAGTGTACATGTACTCTCGCAAAGTCATTGATCAGCTTGATGACATGTAACTGTGTCCACCAAATGAATCGGTAACAACAGATTGTGTGTTCAGGAATGGCTTGATTGAAGTTGAAGGATGTTCATGTACATGCACGCTTCGTGAACTATCGGTGAGAGGATAACTAGGTTGTTCTGGTGATCGCGGATCAGGACACTGGGTTGTGGCCAACCCGATCTTTGTCCGGTGGCATGTCACGAAAACATGTAGTAGTAGCTAGCATTTGTTGTGTTGTTGTCTCGAGGAATTGGATCGTTGCCATTCGAATGCTTGGAATCACGAGTCATGGGTATGGCAAGTTTATTTTCCTCGCAGAACTTTACCATGCAAATTGGCAATATTCTTTGTGTTTTTAAGCTTATTTTCACATAACTTTAGCACTGCCTAACAATTATTCGTACCCTGTACTCAACAAATGCTAGCTACAAACCCGCCGATGTTCGATCCGTGGCTCGTGGTCGTGGGTGGTTGCCGTCTCTGTCGTACAGACCCGACGATGTGGGTCCACTTGCAAACAGCAAGATTCATGTTGGTGGGAGGTGTGCACGCGCGGTTGTGCGCGGTGCGCCATTTGAGCATCGATCGAGCACCTGCAGGAAATTCATGGAGCTTGCTCAGCTTCTGAAGCCACTGTCAAGGCACTAGGTCACCACCCACGGCAACGACCTGCCCGAGGCCACGATCCTGGAGCGCGCCGCCGTGGCCGGCTTCGTGGGATTCCTCGGTCAGCTCGGAGACCTGGGCTAGTAGGTTGCTCCTGTCCCTCCATCCCCCCGTCCTGCTGCATATATACGGCACTGCTACTTCAGTTTTCCCTTGGTTTCTGTACCCGCTCTTGATCTTCTTTAGACTCGCCGCCGAGGTGTTCCACGGCCTGCACGACCAGGCCACGGCCGCGTCTGCGAGGGCGCACGACGGCTTGAGGCGGAGCTGCCGCCCGTCGAGGAAAGTCTGCGCCGTCGACTGAATGAACAGCCTTGCTTTCGTCACCATGATGCCGCCGCAGTTGCTGATTCCAAGTTTAGTACTCCCTCCGTTTCAAAATATTAGCATGCCCACGCTTTTTAAGGTTCAATTTTAACCATGAATTTAACCAACGAGACCGATTATGGTGGAAGCAAAAATATATATAATTGAAAACTTCTTTTGAATACGAATTCATTGATATAATTTTTACTCCTGCCACAGTTGGTCAAATTTATGATCAAAGTTGAAGCACGAAAACCGAAGACGTGCTATATTTTGGAACGAAGGAAGTACGCAGCAAATGCAGGCCGCCAAGTGGATTGGCGGCATGCAGATGTCTCCGCGAGGCTTGTGTCCGGAGGAATAATATGTGCAAATTTCAAACCTTAAGGTACGCACACACATTCCTTAGTTCAACCAAATGAACTCTGACAATAAAGTTATCTCTGAAGTTGTGCCTACTCAAGAGGAGGCCGTGTTGGATTGTATGGACATAAATAAAACAATAAAATAATTTTCCTTGATCACAGTCTAAAGTCATGGTACATAAGAGCATCACTAGGGATAAAGCTTGTCCCCCTGAAAAATTCCGGCAGTTATGCGGGTTTGGACATTTTTGTGCCCGAACAGATCCCACATATCAGCCTGGCCCATAAAAGAAGGGGTTTTTATCAGTTTTGCCATCGGCTGTTTAACGCTACTCAATTTTGCCATTAAACATTTTCATTACTCAAAAATGCCACCGTTCTGTTAGATCAAGCTCAAAAAGACCATTTTCATCGTTACCGTTTGGTCAATACACGTTGACTGATGTTAGATGACGAAACTACCCATATCCCATTTGTAAGGGGCGCATGAGAAAAAGAGAATAAAATTTGGGAGAGCAGGGGTTCGACCTCCAGGACGGTGCGAGCTAATCAACTGAGCTAACGAGATGTTATGATTTATATGGAGATATATCCCTTATAAGTTACATGGTATAATAATCCAACACATTAATGTCTCGTGTCTTTTCTTGTTGCTAGCTAGTTGAGCTTGGGTTTGAAAGTTAGTTTGGACAACAGATCTACACGAGTGGCTGCCCGGCTAGAAGAATCTGTCTGGTACGAGTAGACATGAACAAATGAGGCAGACTGCCATGCCTAAATTCTACGTACAAATTTCGACCTCTACAAACTATACTGAACCACACACGCACACTCAGAATTAGTATACTCATAATACAGGAATTTCAGAGCCTATGTCATGTTGGGGCATCCTGTGGCCGACGCAACCCTCCGATTCGGTCCTGCTGTCTGTCGCCATTGCCGTGGAAAAATTGCATTTCAAGACTCGGGAGGAGCCGCGGAGTCAGCCGGGAGAAGCGTCGGAGCTGCCTGCCTCCGGTGGCGGTGCCGGGCGGGAGGAGGAGCCGAAGCTGCGATGGGTGGCGACACTCGGCGGGAGGCGCCGCAGCTGCGGCGAGTGGGGGCGCGCCGGAGCTGGGCGAGCAGCCCAGCGACCGGCGGTGCCAGGTGAAGAGTTTGGCAGGCGGCGGCGGTGGCTTGGGATGTTCATTCTGGCTGGGGAAACTGCCACAAACAGATCGGGTCAAGGATTAGATCAGGTTCTGTTTAGTTAGGTTCAGATATTAGTATATAAAGCTTTAATCTCTTGACACAACAAATCGCTTCTATGGCTCAGTTAGTTAGCTTGCTTGCTTGTGTACCCCGTGGTCTTGGCTTCGAACCCTCTCTTTTTCTCATGCGCCCCTAACAAATGGAATAGGGGTAGTTTCGTCATCTAACTTCAGTCGACGTGTATTAACCAAACGGTAACGGTGAAAAATGGTCTTTTTGAGCTTGATCTAACAGAACAGTGGCATTTTTGAGTAGTGAAAATGTTTAGTGGCAAAACTGAGTAGCGTTATACAGTCGATGACAAAACTGATAAAAACCCAAGAAGAAAACAATGTGATCCAGATATTCGGCTGCTCAACCACTATATACACAACACCGGGGGGCTTTTAGGGTTAGCCCCCCAATCCCCTCCGCCGCTAGCCCTAGCCAACTCCGTCGACAAATTCTATCCGTCTCTCCTCTGTTTTTCCCCTTCTCGATGGCCGGTGGTACTGGCGGAAGCCATGGCGGGTAGCCTCCGTGCAAGCACGCACAACACGATGTGGATGCCGGCAGCTCCAGACGCGCCGTGGAGCCATGGCGGTCGAGTCAGACGTGCGGCCGCGGCTGGCTCTCCGGGAGTGACGAGCGGGACCTTTAGGCCATCTTTGATGTAGTCGACGAGCACATCTTGCCGCACATCAAGCGGTGTTGCGGCGACGAGCGCGAAGTGGCGGCCGGAGAAGAAGGTGCGGTATGCCACCTCGTCGCCGCCAAGGAGGAGCACCCCTCGCCACCGCGCTTCACATGACGGCAGTGAAGTTTTATCTCGGCAGGGCCCGGGCCTTAGGGGTGTGCAGCCTGTGCGCTTGCACAGGGCCCCAGTTTTCAGGGTGCCCGTTTTGGCTAACAGTGGTGCAGCAGTGCGTGGCTATTGCGCAGGAGCAGACCCAGTTGCCTTCAATCCTGACCTCCCGGGCTCCTGACGGCTTTGTGCGCGCGGAGCAGATGCCTCCCGATCTCAAAAAAAGAAAATCCCTATCGGCCGATCCTTGCCTGACACATACTGAACGACAAATGGGCCCAGCCTCAAGTCCAGCGCGTGGCGGTGTGGGCGACTCGGCGATCGGCGTCGCGTGACTCGCGTCTCTTCCTTTCTTCGACCACGGCGCGATCGCAAATCGAGATCGATCCTTCTGCCTTTGCTCGGTACGATAAGAACAGTAGCGCGATGGAACAGTTTGAGCCATCACTGATCGCTCAAGCAGAAGGATTGGTGACCTCGTGAGGCCCCGGTTTGACCGTGAGTTTCGTCCACACTAGTGGATCTGACTTTTGATTTTTGCCAAACCTTTTATATAATTTTGTCCTTTTTATATTTTATATAAACTAGGATTTGGCCCATTGAAGA